GGTGGGAAGCCTTTGCATCCCTCCGGGGCTTGCAGTGGGGATGCCCTCAGTGGGGCAGGCATTCTGGGATAGGAGTGAGCCACACCATGGCTCCAGCATAGAAATCTGCTGGAGCATAAATGGCAACAGCACTAATCCCTAAATAAGTTCTCCCTGGAAGCAACAGGGGGGGAATTTGGGGAGGGAGGGAGTCCCACTCCAGCTTTTCAGACACCTCCTTCGGCCAAGCCAGTGGCCAGAGCATCCCCTCCATCTTGGTCTCTGGAGCCAGAGCCATTCCCATCTCTGCTGGGGGATTGGGAAGGGGGATTGGGAAGGCAGATGACTCTCCTCCTGTGGCGCTGGAGATAAGCTGCCATATATTTTTTCATTTCTACAGGAGGATTTTAACCCACCTGGCAGGTTTAACCGTTGCCTCCCAGGCCTTCCCCTGAAACAGCGCTTGCCCTGAGGCAGATGGGAATGGGGGGAGGTGGAGACAGAAGGGGTTAAGCGTCCACTGCTGCTGAGATTTAGCCGGAGAAACCCAGCCGGAGGACCCAGGCATCCCAGCTTAATCCTTACATCCTTACATTGCATCCCTGCCTGCCTGGTACGGGGAGGGAGGGATGGTGGCCGTGGGTGATGGGCAGCTACTAATGCTCCTGTAATCTTCCAAATATTTGGAGGGATAACAATTGCAGGCGAGAGGATTTTAACGCTTTCCTGTGGAGGTTTGCTTGGCCATTGCTGCATAGGGAATTGCTTTCCAAGGGGAATTGCTTTCCGGGCTTGCCATCCCTTGTGCCGAGGTTGGGGGTGATGGAGGGAGGGTAAGGCTGGATCCCGGCTCCAGTGCTGCTCCCCTTGGAGGGGGTGGGTGGGTTGCTTGGGATCATCGGTCGATCCTCAAACCGAGTTGCAAGCGCTGGCTGCAAACATCTGCAGGTCACCCCCTGGGGAACAGATGCTGCGGATAATCCAGCTCAACCCCGGCAGATTAAAACGTGTGATGAGGGATGGGGAGAGAGAAGAAGCCCTCGGTGCCTATTCCCCTCCTCCGTTTTCCGCCTCGCTGCTCCCACCGCACTCATCCTCAAGGCGTCAGGATTTGGCCCCACGGGTCGAGCCAAGAGCTGCTCCTCCTTGCCTTTTCCCCCCCAAAAAACCATCTCGAGTACCGAAGGCTCCATCTCGAGTACCGAAGGCTCCAGCCGCCCCGTAACACCATGCCCTGAGCAGTGTGAGACTGTGGGATGGTGACAGCCTGGGGACTTCCAAAAAAAAAAAAAAGAAACAAAACCCCAAAAGAGAGCTGGGAAGCAGGCACCCACCTCCAGCGGGAAGGAGGGAAGCCGGCAGATGGGAACCCCCTGTAGACGTCTGCCAGGGAGATGATGATGGCAGTCAGCGGAGCGCACACTCAAATATTTATTAGTTTGTCACTGCTGGGAGTTTTATTGCTTGTCTGATTGCGGGACTGGAAATCCTGGCTGTGCAGGGCTCCTCTCCTGCTTTCCCATGCAAAAGCGTCTCCTGTGCATGCTACTCCTGTGGTCAGTGGACCAAAGTGTCACCTCGGGTGGGCAGAGCAGAGGTGGCCTCTCTGGAGGTGAGGGGGTTGCACCATTGGGAAAGTACTTCCATTTTTGGGGTGTTTTGCAGTTGGTGCTGGATAGTCAGGGCAGAAGGAGCAGCAGTTGTTCCTCCACATGGCACAAGCAGCCATGTTTTCCCCCCTACCGACTGAATGTGGACTTTTTGGGGGCCCCCCCGTGCGTGTTAGCCGAGTGAGAGGTTTCCCATGCGGCGGGTGGCCGGGCGTCGGGAAGGGGGATGAAAGGTTGGGTTGATGGCTTATGATAAATGTGCCCAGCATGGTTCTCCTCCCTTTTCTTATCCAAAGTCCCCGTTGTTCCTGTGCCTTAATTCTTCCCCAGCTTGTTTAAATACTAGTGGCCATATCATGCTGGAGAAAAACGCCCTGCCCAGCTGCACATGCCTTTTTTTTCAGCTGGATTTTTGGATGGAGAAATCATCCTCCCCTCCCCGTTGATTTGCTCCCATCCACTAGCCTGAGGGATCTGTGGGGTTGGGGTTCCATGGCATGGCCCCAGTTGTGAGTCTGCCACAAAAAAACCATCATCCTTTTCCCCCGTCTCCTGTTAGAGTTGATTTTTTGGCCCCAGATCTCTCTTGGCCAGAAAAAAAGATCTCTCAGATGTTGTCAGTTTGCAGGATTTAAACTTTCCCAGCAGCCAGGATGGTCTTTGCTTTAAAGGTTCTGGTGTTTTGGGTTCAAACCTTAAATTGAGCAGGTTTTTGTAGCCACCAAAAGCAGATGCTGTATCTGGCTGGGGACATCATTGTATTCAAACCACCCTCATCCCCAAAGCCACTGTGCCTCCATGAGAACAACCTTGAAGTGTTGAGCTTGAGATCCACAGCATTTATTTGGGCAGACCCCCCCTCTTGGAGCAGGGGCTCGGATGGGACCCAGCAGGTTTTTGGTACCTCCGGGGGTGTTTCACCCCCAAACCCTGTGCTGGGGGGCCAAGGTGGCTCCCATCACAGCCTGGAGCGTCACTCATCCCACTGGAGATGATCACTGGTGAGTCACAAACCTGGCATTTTCATCCCCATCCAGCCATGACTCATCCCCTCCCCGCTCCTGGATCCTCTCGGATGACCTGAGGTCCCGTTTAGCGTCACCAAAGTGGCACTGAGGTGGAAGAAAACATGTCTTTGGTGTTGACTGCTGGAGGAGGACCTCTCCTTGGTCGTGGTTTGGGATCAGGGACATGCACTTCGGCGTGTCACCTCCATAGGGGAAGGACCTTCTGAAAATTGGCTTCTTTAGGGACATTGAGGCTTCGTGGGTCATTCTTATTAAACAAAACCCAGGAGCCACCCCTGCCCTGGGGATGGGTGGCCAGCAAGCCCCCAGGTGGATTTTTGGAGGGTGCCTGTGCCCTTTCCCAGCTGCCAAGTTCAGGTGTGACTTTGCAGGCTGCATGGCACAGGGATACAGGGAGCATCACTTCAGGGAGGTTTTCACACGAGCCCAGGTGTGAAGTTTTGTTGGCTGCCTCTGTTGCCAGTTAGATTATCTCCTGCCAGCCCTCTTCGCCGGGGAATTTAGATTTGTGGCATCGAAGCGGTTTTTGAAATAAAAAAACCAGCAAACGACCAACAAAACAACAACTCAGCAGATGAAAAATTGAGTAGTAACTTAAAAAAAAAAAAGAATAAAAATAAAGGATATTTGCCGGTGGGACACAGGCAAGAGGCTGCTCAACAGGAGAGGGGGAGCAGGAGCTGGGGCCTGAGGTAGGCACGGGGGGCAGTGTGGGACTGCTCAGGATGGGGGGCTCACACCTCGGCATTCCCTGTCCCCCTGCCTGCCACAGGGCCTGGGAAAATCACAGGTCTGCAAACAAGAAATAACCTGGGGGAGGAAATAACCAGCAGCACAGAGAGAGAGAAATTAGCCCGGAGTTTAATTCATTGTTTCCAAAAGAGCAGTTAATGGATTATGACAAATGTCCTACCGCTCTCCCTTAGTGCTGTGTTAAATGGAAATGGAAAGTCAATTTTCCTAAATGGATTTTAAACGACTGACCTCGTGCATTTTTTTTTTCCCCTCACTGATTTTTGCTCGGGAGGCAGCTTGGTCATCTTGTTTTCTTGATGCATCTGATTATATTTATTTTTTTCCCTTCTTCCTCCTCCTCCTCCTCGCATCTTGGGATTCTGATTCTCTCTGTGCAGCACCGTTCCTTGCCAAGGGTGATGAAGGGAGTGGGCTCCTTCCTTTTCCCTGCCAGCTCTGGAGATGTTATCGCGGGGCTGGGGATATTTACTGTTTTCCTGCACGCTGCAGTGCCTGGAGTTGAGAATCACAGCTCTGGCTGAGGGAAGAGAGGAGGAGGAAAAGCTCATAACTCCTTTGGGTGTAAAGAAAAGCCTTGCGATGTGACCTGACTGCTAGTGAGATTCCCAGGAACAACAGGTTAAGCAGTAGCATCCCAGTGCACCACTGGGGATTTTTCTATTAGTCCTGGGATATTTGGGTTTGATCTTAATGGGTGAAATGTCTGGAAACAGGCTTCCTGCAGATGATGCTCAGCATCAGTCACAGCATCTTCCCAAGCTGTTGCTGAGGATGAGCCACCCTGAGGTTCCCATTCCTCAGGGATTATGTCCCTGAGGTGCTAACCCCTTTCCAAGGCTTTTCTTGGCCTGGCCTGAGCACACCTGACCTCTTTTTCCCGTTATTTTTGCATTTAGATGGCTTTTGAAAGCAAAAAAGCAGGAAGATGGAGGTCCCCAGGTCACTCACTGACCCCTAGTTTCTGGGGTGAGAGGGTGTGAATCCTGGTGGCACCTTTGGGTGATATTCTCTGGAGCTGGCTGGGCTGGAAGCAATTGCTCACCTGTTGTGTGATGCTGAAATCCAAGTGTTGACAGGGGCGTGGGATCCCAAACGCAGCTCCACTGAGGATGTGGATCTCACACTGGATGGCTGAGATTTGTGCTGGGATAATGGTCACCATTCCCAGCACTGAGCCCTGCCAGCATTTTCCCTGGGGCATACCCGTGCATTCCTCAGGGCTGTGAGGAGGAGACCTGGGGTGGGGGACACCAGCCCCTGTGGAGCCTCTCAGTGTCCCCATCAGCATCGCTGGACCTGGGTTTGTTCTGCTTTTTCCCTCGTGGTCTCCTCTAGTGAGACCACCCAGGCTGTGGGCTCAGAGTGTGGGTGAGGGGCTGGTACCCAGGAAAAAACAGGATAAACTCTGCAGCTCTCTCTCTAGCAGGGATTTGCTTTTCTGGTTTTGGGGGAGCCTCCAGCCTTCTTTTGCTTTTCCAAGCATCCTCAGCAAGGGCTGTTGGTGACACCACCACGTGCAGGGCACTCCTGGGGAAGGACAGGAGGGGATGAAGCGGTGTAAGCAGGAGATGCATTCCTGCTGGGATGGGACTAAGGGCACCTCCCCACCCTCTGGCTCCCCTGGCAGGGCTGGAGTACAGCGATGTGCTGCCCGACTCCTTCCCCTCAGCGCCGGCAGAGACCCTCCCTCACTTCCTGCTGGAGCCACAGGACGCCTACATCGTGAAGAACAAGCCCGTGGAGCTCGTGTGCCGTGCCAACCCTGCCACCCAGATCTACTTCAAGTGCAACGGGGAGTGGGTCAACCAGAACGACCACGTCACCAAGGAGAGCCTGGACGAGGTCACTGGTGAGCAAACCCACCTCAGCATCCCCCTGCCTCCCCTTCCCTCTCGTTTTTCCGGGTGCTTCTGCCCTTTTCCCTCATGCACAGCCAACCTGTTGAGGGCTCTCCTCCAGGCAGAACAACAGGCAGACTTTCCAGAGCACGGATGAAGGCACGATGGTGGTGCTGTGGTCACCATACCCCCTGGAAGCTTGAGGAACTCAGCCAGTCTGCTTGCACACTTACCCTTCTGCAGGACCTGGGCTTGTTAAATGGGATTTTAAAGGCAGCATGTTTAAATCCGATAAAAAAATGGAACAGCTTTCCTGCAAAGTGCCTAATCAACACGTAGGAGTCATTGCCAGGAGGGGTGGCAAAGGCTGGCAGCTTACTCAGGTTCGCAGAGGGATTAGGTGTTTAATGGGTAATGAGAGCAATTGCAGGTAGGATTTGAAATGCCTTTTGATGGCAAATGAGCTCTTCCCTGCCTCAGAGGATGTCAGCCTCTGGCTGCCTGGAACAGGGGGTAAGAAGGTGGTTCGAGCATTTTAGGGGGGTTTTATTCCATGGGACTGGGCTCCGCAGAGCTGCTTGGTCCATGCCTTGAAACCTCCTCGCGTGAGAAGAAGGTTAGGAGTTGGATATATCGTGTGATCAAATAGATTTGCTAAAATTGGGATGCTTTAGCTCAGCTCCCATCTTTTCTGCGCCAGTTTTGGTACCTGTGGTCTGACCAGGGGTGGAGGAAAACAGTCACAGTTCCCACGTAACATCTGTTCTCTGCAAATCCCTGAGCATGTGGCATCTGGAGGGCTTTAAACCAAGGCAGCCCTTTTGAACTGCTGTGGTGTTGGCCTGAGAAGTCAGGCTGGGCTTAGAGGAGAGACTTCATTAGCCTGGAGCCACAAGTACTTTTACAGAATCTCTCCTTGTCTCTGTGGTTTTTCCCACAGCCTTGCCCTTCCCTGGCATCTCTCTCTCTCCATCCTGCACTAGCCATGACCTGGTCTGTGCTTGGGCCCATCCCTGAACCTGCTCTGCAAAGGGGAGATCATTTCTTTCCTCTGTGGCTCTTTGAGCCTGTCCTCCTAAAGCTGCTTCAGCTATTCCTGGAGTGTTCTTCCAGAGATGCCAGATGTAAGCAGGCATCCAGAGATGCCATCTCTGAAGGGCAAAGCTGTCCCCTTGCTTCTCCAGAGGCTGACAGGAGCAGGGGCCGCAGCATTTCTCTTTTCCAGGGTGCATCTCCACCTTCCAGCTCTTGCAGAGGCCAGAGTTGAAACCCTCACCACTCCAGGGCAGAGTCAGAGCTGGTCAATGACCGAGCAGCCTTTGCTGAGGGGTTTTGAATTTATTTATAACATCTGGCCACACTGGGTTGAGCCAAAGGTCCCTGTGCCCTGTGTATGGCAGTGGAGGACGCTCAGGGGAAGAGCACTGAACCAGGACAAGGAGGCAGTGATGCAGCCTGCTCTGTTACCCTCCCAGCTTTCTGCCATCCATGATTAGGGACTTCCTGCTCTGGTGGCGGTATCTGAGCAGTGTAGTCCAGCCCTAGATGAATTCCCCACTCATTAATTTGTCTGAATGCTGTTAGGACTCATTTCTCCTCTGGATCATCCCAGAACCCTACAGCAGGGAGTTTCATGGTTTACTGATGTGCACTGTGGAAAAAAACCACTATATTTCATAGGCTCATATAATCCCAGAATGGTTTGTGTTGGAAGAGACCTTAAAGGTCATGTAGTTCCATCCCCTGCCATGGGCAGACATCTTCCCCTAGAGTAGGTTGCTCCACCCCATCCAGCCTGGCTTGGAACACTCCCAGGAATGGACCATCCATCTGGGAAACCTGTTGCAGGGGAAACTCCTTTGCCTTGGGCTCTCCCAGCAATCTGTGGAGGAAACAGCGTGCACCCCCTCCGTCCAGGCTTCAAAGATGGTATTGCTGCTATCAGGGAACACACCAACAGTACCTTCAGTGTGGAGGTGATGCCGTGCATGTAAAAGCTGCTGGCGTGGGCATCTCTGCCCGGCAGCTTCCCTGAGAAAAAAGGAGCTGGAACCAAAGTGGTTTAACATGCTAGAAAATCTGCATTTGCAGCACCTGACCTTGGTCAGGAAAGCTGCTGCAAAGGGCACAGGGCAGAGCTGGGCACAAAGGCACAGGTTAACACGGTTAGTTTTTAAGTGTCCTCGGTTAAAAGCTTGGAAAAACGGACCTTTAAGAAGGAAAAAAAAAAAGAAAAGGAACTTTTAGGATGATGTGTCTTGAATGAGCCCGGCTCAGTAATGCTCTGTCTGCGTCTGATCCAAAACATTTCATGTGGAAGAAAGCAAAAATAGGCCAAGTCAGGGAGGATAATTCAGCTGGGTGAGAAGGGCAGGGCGGGAAGAGCAGCCAGGTTTGGATGCCTGGGAGCCCTTACATAGTCACTCCTGTGAGCCTTGAGCTCAGCCTACAGTTTTGGGTAGTCATTGCTTTCAAGGGGACAGAAATACAGCATTTGCAGGATGCTCCCCACCTTTCCAAGGCTGCTCAACCCACCCCACTGGAGCTTTCCAGATAGACAAGATGTTTTTGAGCCATCTCCATCCTGGGTCCTTCTAAAAACCCTAAGTTTCCCAAAAGCACTTGACCCAAATACCTTTTCTTTGGTTTGTTTTGTTGGGTTTTTTTGTTTGTTTTTTTTTTTTCTTTCCCCTGAATAGTGACAAAATAAATTGTATTTCCTTGTCAGCTCTCCTGCAGGAAGGTGGCAGAGAGACAGTAATTGCTCCTCACAGCGCTGGGAGCGGGCTGTAACAAAATTACAGCTGGGGAGCGTGCGGCGCTCGATCGCCGTGAAATTGAGGCCTTTTTAAAATAGAAACTGCGAATAAAAGGGCAGGTATTGCTTAAAATAAGGAAAAGTAAGCCCTGAGTCCCTCCTGCCCTTGGTGATGGCCACTGATGCTTCAGCATGTTCTGAACGTGGTGGTGTCACCTTTGCCACCACACACCCCTGCCATGGCCAGGGTGATTGCCTTAAGATCTTCTATTTGTCTTGTTATGTTTGTATTTAAGCAGCACTGACAGAGATGGTTTCTCCCTGCAACAAAGCCTGGGAGGCATCCTTCAAACCCTGGTGGGGGGGGAAGGAGTCTGGGCAGGGATGTTGGTGACGTGGGAGAGAGCTGGTGGAGGAGGGTGATGCCTCTAGAAATGGTGGAGAGGTCCTGGTCCTGCTCAGTCAGACTGAGGAGGGACAAAACCAGACAATTCCACGAGATCCATTCCCCTGGCTTCAAATCCAGGTCACCCTCCACAGGGAACAGTCCCCCTGATTTGCAGAGGTGCCATCCCCAGATGAGATGCCCCTGTCCCCAAGCTTTGCATGTCCACCATCCCTCTCAAGTGCTGCCTCGGTCCCCCTCGTCCCAGATGCTCCTGCCGAGCTGATGCCGTCCCTCTCTCCCCTTCCAGGGATGCTGGTGCGGGAGGTGCAGATCGAGGTCTCCCGGCAGCAGGTGGAGGAGCTCTTTGGCTTGGAGGATTACTGGTGCCAGTGCGTGGCCTGGAGCTCGGCGGGCACCACCAAGAGCCGCCGCGCCTACGTCCGCATAGCGTGTAAGTGCCCGGGACATGCCGCACTTGCTCCCGCGGGGTTGCCCGTCTCCAAAAGCTGGCTCCCTATTGAAGTCACTTTTTGATCACTCGGAATGACCCATCCTTGCTGGATGGCCCTGGTCTTCGCTCCCCATCCCAGCTCCAGCTTTGCTTCTGGGCGAGAGGCTGTGGCACTACCTGGGTTAATGCTGCAGTGCCCGTCAGCTCAGCTCTTCCCAGTGCTTTATTATCCCTAATAACCCAAGGATAGCACCTTGCACGCTCTGCCTGAATCAGTGGCTCAGTGTCCCCGAAGTCCCTGCTGTCATATGTCACTTCTCTGAGCTGCTGTTTGGGGGTGACAGCCTGACTAAGGGCGGGTTAATCAGGCTGTTCCCTCCCCAGTTTGCTCGATTAGCAAATGAGATGGCAAAGCCGTGGGAGAACAGCCAGGATTGCCCAGCCCCAAATGGATTTTGCTATTAGAGGGCTAATAATCCCACGTGTTATCCAAAACGGAGAGGGCTGATGAATTGGCTAAAGGGTTTAGCTTGAACAGGGAAAATCACGGGATCAGAGGATCATGGAATGGTCTGGGTTAGAAGGGACCTTAAAACTCATCTCATTCCAACCCCCCCTGCCATGGTCAGGGACACCTTCCACTAGACCAGCCTGCTTGAAGTCACGTCCAACCAGGCCTTGAACACATGTTTTTTCAGAGCAGATGAGGTGAAGTGAGGGTTCGGAAGCCGCGTTGAGAGGGCTGGAGCTGTAGCAGAGGATTGCAGCACCATCTAGTGATGCTTCTGCTCCTTCCAAGGCTCTGGAGCTGGACACAGCCATATTCCCCACATCCCGAGGGGCCTCTCCTTCCCCCAAACACTGTCCAGCCCCTTGCTGAGGAAGCCTGGCTTTTCCTCTGCAACCTTTCCTCACTGGAGTGCAATGATCACATTTCCAGCAAGTCTGGGGATGTGGCTTAGCCAGGACCAACTAGGGCAGAGCTGAGCAACAAACCCCCTTAACCCTGAAATCTGGGAATTCTCTTCAGCACTGATGTGGGAGCTGAACTGTTCTGCAAATCTCATTTTCCCCCTTCATGAAAAGAGGGTCCTGGAGCAAGGTCCAGAGGGGGAAGGAAATAGAGGGGATAAAGAAACAGCAGTCAAGCTGAGGTTTAGCCCCAAAAGGAAACGACAGGATGGGGTATAAGCTTGCAACAACATGAAGGAGGAAAGATACTGTCCTTGAGCACCACATGCTGCCCAAATGCATCCTGGAAAAGATGATTCTCCAGCTCCTTCCTCCCAGGACACGTTTTGCTCTGGCTGTGCTATGGCAGAGGGATTTCCTGACTTGTGGACACTTGGTGCTGAGTTTTGGAGGTTGCCCACCAAAGTTTTGGAGGCTGCCCTGCTCCTGCAGCAGCGCTGGTAACCCCTGGCTTTTCCTTTCCCTCCCAGACCTACGAAAGAACTTTGACCAGGAGCCGCTGGGCAAGGAGGTCCCGCTGGAGCACGAGGTCCTGCTGCAGTGCCGCCCGCCCGAGGGGGTCCCACAGGCCGAGGTGAGTGGCTCCACAGCCCCAAGGAATGCCACCCTGGTGGCTGAGGTGTCCCCTCCCTTCCAGGGCACGTCCTTGCACACGGCTTGTGGCCATGATGGGTGGCCTTGTGCCGAGACCGTCAGCTCTCACTGTGCAGCAGAAAGGTTTATTTTGGGCAGTGGATCTCTTACTGTGACATCTAGTAACACACGTAACCTCAGCACCTGCTCAGAACACCTCCCTCACCCTTCCTGAGGTGCCCTTAACCCCTTTTAGAGGGAAAAATCTTCAGCCTAAGGAGTTGGCTGAAGGGGAGCAGTCACCAGTGGGAGCAGAGGGCATCTGGGAAAGTCAGTATGGATGGGTTTCCCTGCCAAGGTGGTGGAGCTTTCCATGCCCACAGCTCTGTCAGCCCCTGGGAGCTGTGCATTGGTGGTAGCCACATCCTTGGCCCAAACAGCAGTTATGTGCCTCAGATTTTTAAGTTTTTAAGGAGAAATAAATACAGTCAGAGGCAAGGTTGGCCAGTCAATGGTTGAGGTGCTGAGGACATCAGTGGTCTCGGTGATGGCTCACTCACTGTCCTCACCCACCCCTTCCTTTATTGCCAGGTGGAGTGGCTGAGGAACGAGGACGTCATCGACCCCTCCCAGGACACCAACTTCCTGATCACCATCGACCACAACCTCATCATCAAGCAGGCCCGGCTCCTGGACACTGCTAATTACACCTGCATGGCCAAGAACATCGTGGCCAAGCGCCGGAGCACCACGGCCGCTGTCATCGTCTACGGTACCAGCCCTTGCTTCAGGGAGGGGACCTTTGCTCTGGCCATGTCCCCAGGCCAAGGGGGAACACGGGCACTTTCTGGGAGTGGTAGGAGGGAATTAAATTAGTGCATGAAATTAAGTAATAATCAATATCTGCAGAACAGGATCCTCTTATAGCTTGCACAGCCTGTTAGGGGAGGTTCAGAGGTGTAGGGGTGGAGGTATTTCCAAGCCTTCTCTGTTGGGTAGGAAGGTGGATGGAGGCTGGACCCAGATGGATTGTTTTGATTCTCAAAGCAGCTGAAAAGCTGTGTTCGGCTGAACTTGGCTATGAAACCAAGGATCTCCCTGGGGCCAGGCACAAAAATATTTTGCCAAGTGGAAAAAAGACCAAAGCTTTGTCCCAAAGGGCTTAACTAAAAGGCTTGAGCATCTTGGGCGTGAGGTGGGATACACGAGAAGGAGTCTTGTGATTTGCTTTTCGTGAGAAGGAGCTGTACAAGGGGGTCACAGATGTAAGAAGCCAAGGCTTAGCTGCTGTCCCTGCTGAACTGGGCTCTGGTGTTAGTGCTGTCCATCTCCTCCTGCAGTGAACGGTGGCTGGTCCACCTGGTCCGAGTGGTCTCCTTGCAACAACCGCTGTGGCCGGGGCTGGCAGAAGCGCACCCGGACCTGCACCAACCCCGCGCCGCTGAACGGCGGCTCCTTCTGCGACGGGCAGCCTTTCCAGAAAATCACCTGCACCACCCTCTGCCCAGGTAAGGCAGGTTCGCAACCTGGCGTGCCCACACTGCCCGTGCCCCAGGTGGAATGGCCCAGCTCTGCTACCAGTGCATCCCAAGGAGGTAGGGGCTCAGGAGACCCAGTCCAAAGCACCCACAATGGAGTACTGCGTCCAGCTCTGGGGTCCCCAGCATAGGAAGGACGATGACCTCTTGGAGCGAGTCCACCAACATGGTGAGAGGGATGGAGCACTTCTCCTGTGAGGAAAGGCTGAGAGAGTTGGGATTGTTCAGCCTGGAAAAGAGGATGCTTTGAGGGGACCTAATTGTGGCCTTCCAGTGCCTGAAGGGGCTGACAAGGAAGATAGAGAGAGACTATTTACAAGGGCCTAGACTGACAGGACAAGGGGGAATGGCTTCACACTGACAGAGAGTAGGTTTAGATATGGGGAAGGAATTCTTGCCTATGAGGGTGGTGAGGCCCTGGCACAGGTTGCCCAGAGAAGCTGTGGCTGCCCCTGGATCCCTGGAAGTGTCCAAGGCCAGGTTGGACAGGGTTAGGAGCAACCTGGCCCAGCGGGAGGTGTCCCTGCCTATGGTAGGGGTTGGAAAGAGATGATTTTTAATGTCTCTTCCAACGCAAACCAGTCTATGATTCTACCCTATTTCAGTCTCAAAGAGCTGGGGGTGTCTGCAGGGACACAGCTGCCCTCCCCAGATGGCGGCAGGGCTGGATGCACTGGGATAACACTCCCCAAGGGAAGCCCCTTTGTGCTGCCAGCACCATCCCGGCACTGGGGAACGAGCCCCCGGGGCCGTGCCAGGGCTTTTACTGACGCTCCTGTGTTGGGTGTCCCGCAGTGGATGGCGCGTGGACGGAGTGGAGCAAGTGGTCGGCGTGCAGCACCGAGTGCACGCACTGGCGCAGCCGCGAGTGCGCCGCCCCGGCCCCCCGCAATGGCGGCAAGGACTGCAGCGGGGGGCTCCTGGACTCCAAAAACTGCACCGACGGGCTCTGCCTGCAGAGTGAGTACCTGGGCAGGCGGGCACAGGCGCGTGGTGCCACTGGCCATGCTGCTCCGGCACTTGGCCACGCTGTCGCTGGCTGCGCCTGCAAGCTGGTGGAGCAGCACCGCTGGCACCTGGGTTTCAGGTTGTGTCTTCAACAAGGTGTTTTCAAGCAGACTAACCCCTCCCGAAGCTAGTTCTCACCTGGAGGAAAGAAATCCTGGGGATTTTTGGTGGGATCTAAATGTCCCAATGGCATTGAGACCCTCAGCCCCCCTCTAGGTGTGGGGTCTTGGCTGAAATAAGGCTGGTTGTGGTTGGCGGGGGCAAACCAGAAGGGGTTTCTCAGCCCCACCGTGAAAACGCCTGCCCTGGGTCGTTGCTGGGTAGGAGCTCTGCAGCTCCTGAGTGTTTAGGGAAGCAAACCAATAGTGAAGATAATGGTGCTGCTGTGCTGTGAGTGGGCACACTGAAGGCAGCCCAATGCTGCCACCTGCTGCTGTGTGACACCACTGTCCCCTTTAATGCCGCCATGGCCAGATATTTCCAAAGTCCTGTTAGATAGGGACATGCGTCCCAGGGCCTGGCTGGGCATGGGGATGCCCTTGTCACTGTGCTTCTGCCTTGCTTTTGGCATGCCCTGGGGTACAATGCTGATCTCCCATGCCCCCAGGCTGGCTTCCCCCCACTTTCCGCTTCATCTCATGCCCATCATCACCTTCACCATTTTTTTTTTCTAACTTTGTTTTCCTAACAGATAAAAGAGTTCTAAGCGAACCCAAAAGCCACCGTAAGTGCTCATTTCATGGCCATTTTTTTTTTCTGTTTGTTTCTTTGGTTTTGTTCTGTTGCATCTGTGGTTGGGCTCCTCAACAGCTGGGCAAGGACAGGGTGGGAAGAGGGAGCAACTAAAGCCCACCCCAAAACTCCTGTGTACTCCTCAGGATTGTCTCTATTAGGATGTGAGGGCTGATCAGGAACCTGAGCTGCACAAATCTAATGTTTCTGGGATCATTGGTGCTCAGGTGAAGTTGGCATGAGCTGTGGCCAGGTGTCCTACAAAGGTTTGAGGGCTTCACCTCCATCTCATTCTCTGGCATCGCTCTTGACTTCTTGCTCTTAGAAAACACCCTCCATCCTCCTGCCAGCCTTCCCAGCAGGCCCAGTACGCATCTTCCCCTTCGTGCCTGAGATGGTGGTAGGGTTTGGGGAGCGCTGGTGGGTCTTGACGTGCATTTCTCATGCTCCTTTTTTCACCTCCACTTCTTTAATCCCTCCCAGTGCTGGAGGCCACAGGTGATGTGGCCCTGTACGCCGGGCTAGTGGTGGCCATTTTCGTCTTCATCGTGATCCTCATGGCTGTGGGGGTGGTGGTGTACCGGAGGAGATGCCGGGATTTTGACACGGACATCACGGACTCATCAGCTGCTCTCACCGGAGGATTCCACCCTGTCAACTTCAAGACCTCCCGGCACGGTGAGAGCCACATTCCTGGGGGAATGTGCTGATTTCTGAAGGCTGAGGGCTCCATGATGAGGGGAATCAGTGCAAAGCTTTGAGCAGCCTGGTCTAATGAAAGGTGTCCCTGCCCGTGGCAGAGGGGTTGGAACTAGGTAATCCTGAAAGTCCCTTCCAACCCAATCCATTTTAGGATTCTGTGACCTCCTCCACTCAAGCAGTACTTTCCCAACCCCTTGTTTCCTCCGCTGTCTTCATCCCACCTGTGTTTCCTGCTCCCCCAGACAACTCCCAGCTGCTGCACCCCTCGATGCAGCCGGACCTGACAGCCAGTGCGGGGCTGTACCGCGGTCCCATGTACGCCCTGCAGGACTCCTCCGACAAGATCCCCATGACCAACTCGCCCCTGCTGGACCCCCTGCCCAACCTCAAGATCAAGGTGTACAACTCCTCCACCGCCTCCTCCTCACCAGGGCTGCACGACGGCACGGACCTGCTGGGGGGGGTCCCCACCACCGGCACCTACCCGGGGGACACCGCCAGGGAGGGGCACTTCGGGAACGGGCGGAGCAAAGCCCTGGGTTCCCAGCACCTCCTTGGCTTGCCCCGGGAGCACGGCTACAGTGCCAGCGGCACGTTTGGCTACCTGGGGGGAAGGCTCACCGTGCCAGGCACTGGTAAGCCCCGAGCTGGGAGGGGGGACTGTTTGGCTTCTGAAAGATCAAGGGGTTCCTCTTGTCCTAGAAAACTTGCCTACTGTGAGCAGCCTTTTGCTGTCCCAAAGCTGGCTCAGGGAAGAAAGGCAGAAAGCCATTCCCAAGCCAGGCTTGGAAGGCTAGAGGTCACAGCCTCCTTGGGTTTCACTTGGCCTTTCTCTGATATTGATCCAGGGCCAGCACCTTGCAAAAAGATCCAAAGATTAGGATTTTCATCCTCACGCATTGGCCTGGCTCATCCCTGCAAGTGGTGTAGCTGTGGGCCATCCCAGAGAAGCTGTGGCTGTCCCATCCCTGGAAGTGTCCAAAGCCAGGCTGGATGGGGCTCTGAGCAACCTCATCTAGTGAAAGGTTTTCCTGCCTGTGGCAAGGGGGTTGGAACAAAATGATCTTTAAGGTCCCTTCCAACCCAAAACGGTCCATGATTTTCTGAGGTAGAAGTAGGGAGCCCTAGCTCCCTGTTGTCCTGGTGCTGTCTGGCCAGGGGGATGGGAGGGTGGTTTCTCCCTCTTTTTGTGACTAACAACACCTATGTGTTCCATTCCAGGGGTGAGCCTGCTGGTGCCCCACGGGGCCATCCCCCAGGGGAAGTTCTACGAGATGTACCTGGTCCTCAACAAGGCAGAGAGTGCCCTGTAAGTCACCCTGTGCCACCCGCGTGTCCGCTCCTTGTTGGCCACCATGGAGTTCCCTTTCCAACCAGTGTCCCCTCTCCCTCCCCAGCCTGCCCTCCGAGGGCACGCAGACGGTGCTGAGCCCGGCAGTGACCTGTGGGCCCACTGGCTTGCTCCTGTGCCGCCCCGTCGTCCTGACCATTCCCCACTGTGCCGACGTCAGCTCCTCAGATTGGATTTACCAGCTGAAAACACAGTCCCACCAGGGAAACTGGGAGGTAAGGTGGGAACCCAGCCCAGTGGCCACCAGAGACCGTCAGCCTTGAGGGACACAAGCCCTCAGGACCATGGGCTGACCCCCAGCCTTGATGTCCCATCTGTAGGAAGTTGTGACCCTGGATGAGGAGACCCTCAACACTCCCTGCTACTGCCAGCTGGAAGCCAAGTCCTGCCACATTTTGCTAGACCAGCTGGGCACCTACGTCTTCGTGGGAGAGTCCTACTCCAGGTCAGCCATCAAGAGGCTCCAGCTGGCCATCTTTGCCCCCACCGTTTGCACCTCCCTGGAGTACAGCCTCAAGGTCTACTGCTTGGAGGACACGCCAGATGCTCTGAAGGTAAATATCACCTTCCCAAAGCTGTTTGTGCTGGCAACAAGATGCTGCCTGGTGCCTCTCAGGGTGGCCTGGCCCCAGGGAGCAGACAACCTGATGCAACTGCCTGCAAAGTGACCACAGTGAAATAATAAGGTGTTTACTGCTTTCCCTGTCCTTCTGCGCCTTCTCCGAAGGAAACAATGAGGGTGTTGCTTGTCTCCTCTGCTGGAACCCCTTCCTGCAGGCATTCCGTGAGAGGTTGGGCTGCCCATGGGTGGGTTTTCTCTCTGCTGCACAGAAAGTTGTGATTTACCTGTTTTCTATAGATCCTCTTATTCCTGCATGGATCTGTGTGTCTCCCCTCTTTCGGAGTGTTCTGTGGTATAGACACCATCCAGTGCAGCACAGGAAGCTGGAGTTTTGATGCTTTGGCTACCTGGACCACTGGTGTGGTGGCTGTGTGATTCCCTGTGACCTGTCCTGTGGATCCTGTCAGGATTGCTGTGGTGCCTCTAGATGGGGATGTAGGCAGCACTCTGGCTCCCAGAGTGTCTTTTTCTCCTAAAAGCTGCTGGTGTGATGGTGGGATGATGTTAAAGACAAATAGGGTGGCACCCTTCAAAGGAGTCCCTGACCCTTGTGTTGGACCTTTGTATTCTCTGAGGAGTACAGAGGCATTTACGGATGCTCACATTATAAAATTCAAGTTTTAGGTGAGGCTGGTGCATGAGATGAGTTGGCAAGTTCTGTTGCTGTGGCAGAAGCTGCTCTCCGTGGCTTGTTGTTGCTGCTGGCTCTTCTTGGCAGCTCCTCTCCTCGCTCCATGCCTGGCTTTGGGCATGGAGGTGGGCAGAGGAGCAGCCCCTGCCCTTCTCCTGGGTCTTCATGCTGCCTGTCCCGCTGCCCACAGGAGGTGCTGGAGCTGGAGAGGACACTGGGAGGGTACCTGCTGGAGGAGCCCAAGCCCCTGCCCTTCAAGGACAGCTACCACAACCTGCGTCTCTCCATCCACGACATCCCCCACGCCCTGTGGAGGAGCAAGCTGCTGGCCAAGTACCAGGTGAGGGGCTGAGGGGGCTCAGAATGGCAGCACCATCTTCAGCCAGGCACCGCAGGGTTTGGGAGTGCCCTGCTTTTATCTCCAGAGTTGTTTCCCAAAGGGATGGGGGAGGAAGGGGGACTGGTTTTCTGGTCTTTTTGGAGGGATGCTCACTGTGGGGTCCCGCTGTCCCATCTTGTCCCTCGTGGCGTGGCTGGAGGAGGTGAGATCTCCCAGGGGAGCTGCTGGAGCCTTGGCTGAGCCTGTGCTTTGGTGGCCTGCAGGAAATCCCCTTCTATCACATCTGGAGCGGCAGCCAGCGAGCCCTGCACTGCACCTTCACCCTGGAGAGGTACAGCCAGGCCTCCACTGAGCTCACCTGCAAGATCTGCGTCCGGCAGGTGGAAGGGGAAGGGCAGATCTTCCAGCTGCACATCACGCTGGGAGAGGTGAGCGCTGGGGCGGTGGGGGGATCACAGTGAGGGGACACGCTCGGGTATTTCAGCTCTGTGCTGCAACATCTCTCCCTGTCCTTCCCCTTGCAGCACTCCAGCTCCTTCGACACCCTCCGCTCCCACCACAGTGGTGCCACCCCCACCACCCAGGTGGGACCCTACGCCTTCAAAATCCCCCTCTCCATCCGGCAGAAGATCTGCAACAGCCTGGATGCTCCCAGCTCCAGGGGAAACGACTGGAGACTTCTCGCCCAGAAGCTCTCCATGGACCGGTGGGTGTCCCTGTGCTTTGTTTTCCACTGCTGTGCCCCAGGCAGGGGGGCTTCACTCTGTGCTCCCTCTGTGGTGCAGGCCCCAGTGAGGTTATGTCCAGCTCAATAGGTACAACCAAAAATATGGATATAGTTCTGCATAGTTATATCCATCTGTGTTGGTTTAAGAGTTAACCAGCAGGGGTAATGAACCCAACTCAAAGGAGAGATTATAAAATCAGAATAACAATTTATTAAAATAATACAGTAAGTACAATCATACAAACAAACAATTGGTCTTAACCCACAAAACCCAAATGTATAACCCAGTACCTTGGG